ATGTTCATGCCAGAACTGTCTTGTGGGTACCAGACCACTTACCTGACTGCCTGCCGTACATCATCCCTTGCAAGTCAACATGCCCAATACTGAACTTTATATCCTCCCCCACCCATCTCCAATTTCTCCTTTTGTACCACCCATTCAGATATCCAAGCCCAGAAACCTGAAGGAAGAGGAAAAACAACTAGTATTTAGAATGTGTATGTTGACAGATACATTAAAGTATTTTCATTTAAGTCTAACAAGCATATAAAAGCAAATATTAGCTCTACTTCTCAGATGAGAAAACTAAAGCCCACAAAGGTTGAGTAACACACCAAAGCACCTACCTAAGTAACAAAACTAGGGTTCAAACCTAGGGTTTTGGGAAAGTTTGTAGGTTAGTCTGGAGTCCACTGACACAGAAACTAATTATGAATATGATAGAAACGTCCATTGCTGACCCCAATCTCCAGTCCATTCTCTCTTACAGTAATAACTCTGATTTGGGCTGAACACATTCCTGTCCAGCTAAAAGATACGTTTCCCGATCTCATGTGCAGCCAGTAAGGTCATATGACTAAGTTCTGGTTAATACTGAACTTTTTTAAGAATGTACAGGCACTTCTTTGTCCATTCCTGCATCCTGCTGCTTAGATATTAGCTAGAATGCCAACAGCCACCCTGGACCAGGAAATCAAGGGCAACAAGCTAGGGAAGACAGAGTAAGAAAGTGGAAAGAGGCTGGTCCCTAATGACAATGGAGCCACCATACCAGCCCTGAACTGTCTACCTCTAGTCTTCTTTCTCGAGGACCAAACATGTTTAAGCAATTATTTTTCAGGTCTCCGTTACTCACAGGCACACCTAATCCTAACTGATACAAGAGGCTTTGAAAGTATTTTGAGAGAAGGGTGGAGGGCTGCAAGAGATATATTGAAGGAAGAATTGTCAAGATTCAGTGACTGACTCAATCTAAAAAAGAAAATTATCATCAGTTATATGACACACGAAAGGTTTTTTTTTTTTAATTCTTCCACTGTCCTTATTGGAGTTATGGCCCTTTGGTGTCTGCATTTTTTAATTGAGATATAACTGACATATATTAGTTTCAGGTGGACAACACAATGTTTCAATATATGTATTAATATTAATATACAGTGTGAAGTGATCACCAGAATAAGTCTAGTTAACATCCATCAACACACAGTTATATTTTTTGTGATGAGAATTTTTAATATCTACTCTTAGCAACTTTCAAACATGCAATGGAGTACTGTCAACTCTAGTCACCATGCTGTATACATTACATCCCTAGGACTTATTTATTTTATAACTGGGGGTTTGTACCTTTTGGCTACCTCCACCCATTCGGCCCACACCCACCCCCCCTACCCGCCTGGTATCTACATTTCTAAATAATGCGATAAAAATTAGAGAAGACATTAAAAGCTACTAACCAAACTTCCTAAAGGGAACGAAAAATAAAACAAAATCTTTTTGTAAATACAACCTATTTGTAAAGGTGTTCTCACCAGTCTAGTTCAGGCTTTTTGGTCTAAAAATAAGTAACATGAGGATAACTTACAAACTGTTTACAAACAGTTTGTAAGTAGAAGTTCAGAGCATTAAGCTCAGCTAGGAACCTTACTAGAGAAAATAAATATCTGCTCCTGCCTTGAAGCTTAACAATTCCCACTTAACTGGTAAGTGATACTAAAACACACCACCATCAGAGAGCCAGGACCTTCACACCCCGAGACAATCAACACCTCGAGAGCTAAGGTGGAAAGCAGAACCCGCTCAGGAAGCAGGATACCAAACTAGAGGACTTCCTGAAATCCCCCCCACCTCTAAGATTCAGTCTTCTTCTGGTCCTAAGAAAAGAGCAGTAACAGCCATCTTGCCCCCGTGATTTTCAGGCCCACAGCACTCAATCATGCCCACCTGGGTCACAGAAGGAAAACTCTGGAAGGGGCTTCAAGCCCAAGTCTCACAATAGCTCATCTTCCTGAAAGTTAAGTCTTCCTCTTGAATTGGGGGTGCCTCTATTCCCCACAGCTCTCTCTCACTCTGGGCACAGGAACCATCATCACTGCCTCAGAATGCCCTGTGACTTCAAGTAGCAGTTGAGCATTATTTACACTCTGATTACAAGCATACAGTATTTTAAAAACATGAACATGAAAGAGACCAAAACACAGAAAAACATCACATGCTGTTACATTGCTTTTATACTTAATCACTTTTAAAGGTCTCATTTTACCAAAGCCTACACTACAAGTATCACAGGTATTTCCCATATATTTGTTTATAGTCACTAGAAAGGAAAATGGAACAATTCTCTCTAGCACTAACCATTTTCATTTATCTACAAAGTGAAAGATGACACTTAAACTGCATTTGTAGCAGCGAACAAAATCACCTATTTTCTTAATAGGTAATGTAGCAGCAGGATGGAGGAAAATATCAGCAAAATATCCCAAAATGCAACGTGGTTGGCAGAATTAGAGCTCCTAAAGATGTCCACATCCTAATCCATGGAACCTGGGATTCTGTTATCTTACATGATAAAAGGGATTAATGCAGGTGCAATTAATGCAGGTGCAATTAAATTAAGGACCTTGAGATGGGAAAATTATCCTGAATTAATCAGGAGGACCTGACCTAATCACTTAAAAGTGAGAACCTTTCCCAGCTGTGGTCAGAGACTGACTACACAAGAATGGTCAGAGATGCAAGGATGCTGGCTCTGAAGACAGAGGAAGGGGACACAAGCCAAGAAATGTGGCAGCCTCTAGAAGCTGGAAGACGCAAGGGAACAGGTTCTCCCCAGAAGCCTCCAAAAAGGAACACAGCCTTGCTGACACACTGATTTTAGCCCAGGGAGACCCACTGCAGACTTCTAACATACAGAACTTTAAAATAACAAATCTGTGTTGTTTTAAACCATTAAATTTGTGGTAATTGTTACAGTAGTCATAGAAAACATACACACACACATTGAACAACTTGTAACAATACGCGTATGTGAAATTATCTAGAGAAGAAAAGCAGAGTCAAATTGCTCAAACATTTACAGCATTATGAGCATAATAACTATTTGTGCATGTGGTGGTATATTTCACTTCTATTACTCTCTACCCTCACAAAACTTAATCCATTAAAAAGCCAGCCAAAGTAATAATTATTCAAACTTTTGTAGAAGGATGAACCATATTAACCAAGAAAACAGGATAGCAGGATCAACTGGAAAAAATCAGGAAACAATTATACTATACGTTTTAGTCAAACATCAAAGTGTTTGCATTGCTTATTCCCCTTGTATCAAATGGATACCACATTTTTAAAATAAGTCCTTAGATACTGATGATGGTATTAAGAGCTTCCTATTCATTTTTAGGTGTGATAATGGTATTGTGTGTCTATTAAAAAGAGACTGACTCAATCTTCTACAGATACACAGTATACTCAAATATTTACAAATGAAATGATATGTTTATGATCTGCTTTAAAATAACTGGGAGCAGGGATATGAATGGACAGAGGCATAGATAAAGCTAAATTATAAATTAGCCTGAGTTACTAATTGTTGGAGCTGAGTAACAGGTACATGAGAGTGTATTATTCCATTGTTGGAACTTTTCTATACTTAAAGGGTACAAAAACAAAGCCTTTAACCTATCATAATAATACAGACTCTTAATATATTTAATACTTGAATTTCCTTCCTGTAACACTGCCCCACCTCAATTCTCCGCCGCTTAATCCACCAGCAACTGAGAGTTTCATCAATTATTCTTCCTTCATCCCCACCTCATTCTGCCCTATTTACTGACCTTATGAGTTTCAGCAAGTCACCTAACCTCTAAAAGACTGGTTCTTCACCCGCAGAACAGAAATATTTATACTTGCCCTGTCTACCTCTGAGTTGCCGAGGGGATTACATAAGATAAAAACTACAAAGCAGAATAATCACTCTAGAAATCTACAGTCATACATTTCATGCTCGGCAGCAAACATTCACTTATTCCTGTCATCCTCTTCCCTTCCACCTCCAGTTCCTCTCTTGAGCCCTCAAACTCATGGGCCCAACCGCCTGGTTCCTCTGTGAGGTTACACTCCTCTCCACCGCCTCCACCCCCCAGGTTCTCATATCTTTCAGCAAAGCACCTTCTCGCTACACATCTCTCCCTCCAACCTCTGTTCTCCCCTTTCAAGGATCCCACGCCAACGGGCCCCCTAGTCCGTCTATCCTGTGTAGCCCTTTGCTGGCACTGGGACATTCAGACCATCCCTTTACTACCCCTTGCCAGTACGTTCATCCTATCAGCGTTATCACCCCATTACCTTCCATCCCCACTACTGACCCCCAGTTCCCAAACACCCTCCTTCACCCTTCAGGTAAAACGCAACTGCTAGTTGCCAGGGGAGGGGAAGGGGAGAAAGAGCAGTGACTGCTTTTGGATATGGGTTTCTTTTGGGGGTGATGAAAATGTGGAATTAGTTGCACAACCCTGTAAACATGCTAAAAACCACTGAGTTGTACTTCAATTGTACTTTTAAAGGTGAATTTTATGGTATGTGAATTACATCTCAATAAAAAAAATGTATATGTCAAAAAAATAAAAAACCACCATGGCTCACCCCGCCCATCATCACACACCCATTTGTCCGCCTTGTCTCCCAAAGCCATCGACTTGCTCTTCGGTATCCCAACACCCAACACTAGGCTCGGACGGAGGTCCCTCACTCTGGTGAGGAACACACCCCCTCACCCCTCGGCTCTAAGTGCCGCTGAACCCTGGAAGCCGGGGAGGATCGGGGGCAGCTCTCGCGCGGCTCCGGCACAGCCCTGCGAGGGTGGTTCCGTCCCCCGCGGGCAGGCAGGGACCCTTCTCCGCCTCCTCGGCGGCGCTACCCCTCAGCTCCCGGCGCTGACCGGGGGAGGGGAAGGAAGGGTGTCCCCTAAGCGGCTCTGACGAGGAGCTGGGGGTCCGGCAGATCTCGCAGCCCACCTGTCTCAGCCGGCCGGGAGATCCGTTTCCAGCTCACCGACAGACCAGCGGGCGGCAGAGGGGGAACAGGACAAGCCGACAAGCCGTGATCGCTGCTGCAGCTGGGATGGCGCACGCCGGCTCAGGCCTCCATGTTTCCGTGTCTCTGCGGCTCCGGCTCGGCTCCGGCTCGGCTCCCGCCCCGGCCGCGTCGCTGCGGAGGCCCGGAGGCGGGGAAAGAAGAGGAAAGCGACAGAGAACGCAGCTGGGAGCCAAACGACCCGGCGCGCTCCTGCCGGCGGTCACGTGGCACGCATCGCGCGGGCTTCTGGGAAATGCAGTCCTTCGGGCTTTAGGCGTTTCTCTACCCTCGTAGCGCCTGCAGAGCAAAGGCAAAGCCACGTTGCAAGATCGAGAAGTCCTTAAGCCCTCTCCTACCCTGTGCTCGAGTCTTTGCTTATATCCCACGCCACTTAACATTCTGGTGGCTTAACTTTATTAATGCCCCTGTTCGTTCCAATCGAATAATCATCCCAGAATCAAGCAATTCCTTGTAGCACTCTGAAGAACTGGGAAATAGGAATTTAATTTTTTTTCTTTTTCTTTTTTTATTTTTAATCTTTGTTTAATCCCTTATACCAAGGGCTAATTTTCAGAAAATAATTTTTCATGGAGGCGGTTAACAGGTATAAAACTGTCTGCAATAATATCAGAAAGGACAGGTCCGGCAGGAAAGAGTAACAGTGCCAAAAATCTGGAATTTTAAGTCAGATGAGCTGAGGTTACCAGATTGACGTCCTTGAGCTATTATAACACTACTCCCGGCCAGTTTTCTCATCCAAAATATATACAAGATGATGGTGATACTTCCCATATAGGACTATTGACAATATCAATAATAATATTAATAATTAACAACTCACATTATGGGCTGTTTTCTATGTGCTATGCACTATCTTGTTTATCTAATTAACACTATGAGATATCACTGTTATTTCCATTATATAGTTAGTATGTTCCAATGTACTCTGAAAAATACTATACACATCTTATATACTTTTCCAGCATATATTGCCAATAAATTCCCTGAGTTTGCAGAAGTATTACAGGGAAACATACTAAAACATAAGATAACTAAGAGCCTAGCTAAAAAGAGGTATGCCCCTGTTATACAGCCATTGTAAAAAAATGCTATGCACCTGAAACTAATATAAAATAAAATTCAATGTCAACTATGATTTTTAAAGTCACAGGGCATATAATCAATAATATTGTAATAACTATGTACAGTGTCAGATGAGTAATAGACTTATTGTGGTTATTTATCACTTTGTGAGGTATATAAATATCTAATTACTATGTTGGTTTTGTACACCTGAAACTAATAAAAAAAGAACGCTATGGGCTGGCCGAGTGGCTCAGTTGGTTAAGAGCTCGCTCAAGAGTTTGAGCTCTGAGCAACAGCATTTCGAGTCCAGCCCGAGCTGAGCAGCCGCTGAGCTGCCAACAGGTAGGATGGCTCAGCTAAAAAAAAAAAAAAAAAAGAATGCTATGAATACAGGTTCATGATCTATTGAGTGGAAACAGTATGTATAGTATTATCCAATTTTTTGTAAGTGAATTATAGTTACAATACCTATGTTTATATGCCAGGGGGGAAAGTTTAAAAGAATATTAACAATTATTAACTTTGGGGAATGCATGATTAATTTAGGTTTTTCCTATGTGTTCTCTAATTTTTCTGCAATGAATATGAATTACATGTAGAATTTTATTTTAAAATTATAGCAGAGAGTCAGACACCAAAACCAAATTCAAAGTAGTTCATAATTTTGTTTGTACCCAAAACTACAGTCTACCTACCCCAAATGTCCTAGCAACAATTGTGAGCATCTCTTCAGAAATGGATTTATAGACCAAAAGCCACTTATTCTACTTTGAGACAATCCTGTTAGTGAAATGTAACATCCCATCCTTTTTGTATTTTTTGGATAGCTTGAAATAATGTTGCTAGGCAAACATCATAAATCAGAGAGTAAGATTAGGAATGGTTTTCACAATATATAAAGTATGCACTAGAGTGGCAGTCCTTCAAAAACTATTTATCATACATGTAATATGCAAAGTATTATCCTTCATCACCAACTTTAATACTGCCTGCACAAGTATCATGATAACTTTGACTGACTTGACTACTTCAGTGTCTATTTAGTGCAAAAACACTAACAGAAAAGCCATGAAAACCCTCCCAATAAATGTAACGGGGTATCCTGGATCGATCCTGGAACAAAAAAGACAATAGTAGGAAAACTGAAGTCCAAATGAAGTCTGGAGTTTAAGGCTATTGTACCAATGTTAATTTCCTAGTTTTGACAAATGTGCTATGGTTATATAAGATATTAACATTAAGGGAAAAGGGGTGAAGGATATATGGGAACTCTGCACCTTGCAACTTTTCAGGAAATCTAAAATTATTCCATGGGGCAGGCAGAATAATGACCCCCTGAAGATGTCCACATCCTAATCCCCAAAATCTATGACTATGTTAGGTCAGGTGGCAGAGGGGAATTAAAAGTTGCAGATGGAATTAAGAATGCTGATGAGACGACTTTAAAATAGGGAGATTATCCTGAATTAGCAGAGTGGACCCAATGTAATCACGAAAACAAAAAATGAGACACAGGGGGGAGAAGAGAGTCATAAATATGGCTCTGGAAGATCAAGGAATGCAATGTGAAGACCAGACATTGCTGGCTGTGAAGATGGCAAGAGACTGAGACTGTGGGTGGTGGCCTCTAGGAGGTGGAAAAGGCAAGGAAACAGATTATACCCTAAAGCCTCCAGAGGGAACACCATCTTGCCAGATACCCTGATTTTAGCTCAATGAGACCTTGTCAGACCTCTCACCTACAAAACTAGAGAATAATACATTTGTGCTGTTTTAACCACTAAATTTGTGGTAATTTGCTGTAGAGCAATGGAAAACAAATACATTCAAAAATAAAAAGTTTAATGAAAAAGAAAACTTCCCAATGCCTACGTGTCTTCCCAACACATTTGCCAACCTGGGATTGTACAAATATTCATGCTACTTAGAAAGTAACTGTAAAACAGACAATGCACCAAAAAGTATACTTCACTTTGGAAGGCATGCAATTATTATTTTTTATTTTTGCAGCAGATTTATAACCTTCCCAGCTCATTGTGATTAGACTATTGTGAAAAGCAAGCATATCCAGAAATATGTGGAGTTACACAGGAAAGTCAAACAGGCAGTGAAATGTCAAGTGAGTCATTGGAAACACTACGGTGTCTCAAATTTCAGCCCTGTGTGACCTTCTTCATCTTCCTCATTACTCAGCGACTTTCCAAGGAGGTATTTACAATGAGGACTGGAGCTTCTGCTTGAGGACATCCATTTAGCTCATTCATTCATTTGTTCAATGAATATTTACTTAGCAATTCTGAGTGCTCTGTGCTTCAGACCTGGACCTGGCCTCAAGAAGCATAAGGTCTAGTGGAAGAGACAGGCAATTATACAATACAATTAAACATCAGGTTAAATTGCCATGAAGGACAAGAACAGCCAGAACAGCCTGATATGTAGCCCCATTTCCGAGAAATAAATGGTGAAAATTAATCACCTGGGACTAGCAGAACCAGAATTTTCATCAACATCTTAGTCACAAAACATACACACATGTATATATGCAATATATCAAAATATATATGTAATTTGACCTAATTCTCACAACTTTGTAATTAAGTATTACTATCTCCATTTTACCCATGAGAAAACATAATACACAACAGTTTGGGGTTTTTTTTAGGTTACTGAAATTTATACAACTAGTTACTCAGACCTTCAAAAATTTACATTCTAATATAAACAACATATAATAGCACATTTCAAAGAGAATGGATTTTATGGTTGTTTTATGCTGATGTCATTATAAAGTTAGTTTTTTGGTAAAAGAGAGATTATGGATTAGAATTGAACTTTAAGACTCTTGGGCCAAAAAAAGTCTGCTGATGTCTGTCTCTGGAAGTCAGGAAATCCCAGCTGGAAGGCCACACATTGTGGCTCGAGACCAAATCCACAGACTGGCAAAAATACAATGAGTGTCAATATACTGGATGGGAAAATCAAGATTCAAAATTCTTCCAATTAACTACCATGGTGAACCAAAAAGAGCTGCATGAAATTTAGAAGAGAACTCAATATGTCTGCATTTGGGTTCAGAATATCACTGCCCAAGGTAAGAATAGTTCATTGAAAAGGAAATACTAATGGCTCTCAAACCTCACCCAAACTCACTTATAACAAGAGAAATGTAAATTAAAGGTACATTGTAATACCATCTTCTCAAATCAGTTTGGTAAACATTAAAAAGTTCGATAACACACTTTGACAAAGGCGTGGAGAAATAGGCACATTACTGGTGGACATGTACATCAGCAAAATGAACAGTTTTGCAATATTTTATTTTTTAATTGAGGTATAATTGACATATAACATTATATTCATTTCAGGTATACAGCATAGCGATTCGATATTTGTAATATTGCAAAATGATCACCACAGTAAGACTAATTGACATCTGTCACCATACATAGTTACACATTTTTTGTTTGTGATGAGAACTTCTAAGATTTACTTTCTTAGCAACTTTCAAGTAAGCAATAAAGTATTAACTATAGTTATATGCTGTATATTACATCTCCATGACTTATTTATAACAGTAAGTTTGTACCTTTTTTACTCCCTTCAATCATTTTGCCCACCCCTCACCCCTCTGCAATATTTTCAAAATTATAAATACACATACCCTTTGGCTGCAGCATACACTTCGAAAAATCTATTTTACAAATGTGATTTCACACAAGTGAAATGATGTACATACAAAGATATTTACTACAGTATTTTTGGTAATTTTAAGAAACACGTTTTTATTGCAGTAAAATACATAAACATAAAAAATTACTATCTTAACCATTGTTATATATACAGTTCAATGGCATTAAGTACATTCATATCATTGTGCAACCATCATCACCATCCAACTTCAGAGCTCTTTTCATCTTGCAAAATGAAACTCTATACATATTAAACAATAACTCCCTATTCCCCCTTCCACCTAACCCCTAGCAATACAATTCTATTTTCTGTCTCTGAATTTAACTATTCTAGCTACCTCTTATAAGTGAAATCATAAAGTATTATAATGTCTTTCTGTGACTGGCTTATTTCACTTGGCATAATACTCTCTAGGTCCATCCATGTTGTCGCAAATG